AGTGAAATCACAAGTGGACAATTGTGGGAATTCCAACCATAACCTGTTGTTTCCTTATCTCTGTGGTGAATGGTGTAAAAAACAGCAGAGAGATGTTTTCATCAGCTTCATCCAAACCACCCCAAACACCCGAATAGGCAGTCTCTTTGTCTTCAAGAGACTGTATTTGCATACACTTACATGAATTTATATATGCATTTATATATGAATTTATATTTTTTTTATATGCATTTACATCTACAAGCAAAATACTTAAAAAATAGATTTACTACAGTATCTCACAGTGCAGGGAAAAAAAAAAGTTGTTGTTCTCAGCTTCCAAATGCAAAAGAAGGATCAGTGATTCATCAGAAAATGCTTCCTAGTTGTTCGAGAAAAAAAAAAAGCATTAGCAAAATGCAGCCTAAATAAAAGAAGAAAAGTGCATCTTTATACAATGCAATTGAAATTTCCCATTTTAGAAGGTTTGGCTTCATTGCCTCAGTACCTGCTCTTTTCTGATGTTAAAAACTCTGTGTCATTCTGATACGAAAAACTCAGCACAGATGGCACAAGTTTTTTTTCTGTAATATATCAATAGGAAAGACAGCCCTGTAAACCATTTCTGGGGTGGTTTTTTTCCATGTGCAAAACATAAAAATTAAGCCTTGGCAGAGAGAGAATCAAAGGACTCCTCAGGGTAAATTTGGCTCCTGTAATTTGTTTGAGGTTCCACCATCCAAATGGTGTCTCTGAGGACCAGCGTTGTGGCTGCCCCATCCCTGGAAGTGTCCAAGGCCGGGTTGGACAGGGATTGGAGCAGCCTGGGCTGGTAGAAGGTGTCCCTGCCCATGGACACCTCCAGAGTAAATGAAAAAGTGAATTTGTTAAGGTTTTTTAAAAAAAATTAAAAAGCCTTGGGGTTTGGGAATAAAAGGGCTTGGGAATGTCTTCCTGGGTGTGGAACTGTTATAAATCTTTGGAAAGACAGGAGTCAAAACTGCAAAACAAGGATCAGGATGAAAGGAAACTTCCAGAGCAAGTTGTTGGAGCTGCTGTGACCACACAGCTCCCAAAGCAAGATGTCCAGAAGTGGGATGACAGACCCCCAGTACTCCTGGATTTATTTATGGTGACAGAAATCTGAGCTGTAGTAATGGCTTTGCCACTATTTTGGGCACAGGGAGTGAGAACAAACCCCCTCTGGTACTCGAGAATCCTGTGGTTTTTTCCTGCTCATTTTTCAGTTGAGCAGTTTTAGGGCAACACCCGCCTTTGCCAGAAATGTCAAAATTTAGACTGTATAATAGGAAAAAAATAGAATCACATCATAGAATTCCAGACTGGTTTGGGTTGGAAGCGACCTTAAAGCTCACCTTGTTCCACTCCCTGCCATGGGCAGGGACACCTTCCCCTGTCCCAGGTTGTTCCAAGCCCCATCCAACCTGACCTTGGACACTTCCAGGGATGGGGCAGCCACAGCTTCCCTGGGCAAATAGTGAAGAGGTTGTAAAATTGCCTTAGATACAATCAAAACAAATTGTTTATTATTAAACTCTTTTGTATAAAATTAATCTCATAAAACTGATGCTTCTCCCAAGAGCCCAGGGTGGTTTCTTTCCTATGGAATTCCTGTGGCATTTCACCACATCCTGTGAACTCCCAAGAGAAAAGGCTTGGCCAGCAGGTACCTGACGAAGCCCAGACCTCTCTGTTTGGGGAGAAACAGTTTTTCCTGGCAGAGTCAGGACAAAGCTCTTCCTTCTGTTGCTCCTGTGACCTTCATTCCCAGAGCAAAGACACGGGAACAGTGAGATCTCCCAGCACTGCCTCTAACATGGAGCTGGATCTTCAGCCAAGAAAGCTGGAAGGACTCCAACCACTCACACCAGATATGCCTGGCTATTTTTTCTTTGATGTAAAGAGGTTGAACTTGACTTGCAGCAGGGGAAACACATGGGCAGTGTTTGTTCCGATTCCAGAGAGGTTTTTGGGAGAGTGTCTCGGACATTGCCAAAAGTGGGGATTGACCAGTAATTTTTCATACCAGTGTGAGATGAGCAGCATTAGTCAGATGTGCTCCCTGACTCTCCTTTCCACAGAAAAAAATACTTACATATTGTGAATAAATCCTCCAAAGCCAAAAATCCAGATGTGTGGAAGAGCTGAGCAGAGGATCAGAGTCCTTTTTTACCTGTACCACATCTACAGCTGTCATGAAAGTTCACGTCCCAATGTTTTAGAAATGGTCCTACTGTTTCTTTCCGTTCTAAGCTGGTCTGATCCAACCTGGCCACAGGGATGAAAGGAATTTCTGTGGAGGATGTCCTGCTTAAAGCAGGGAAGTGTTCCCTACACTAGATCTCAATGGCTGAGCCTTTGCCAGTCCAAATATTGGACAAAAACCCCCAAAGGTTGGAAATACCTGTCTTTAGTGACCTGTCCAAGGGCTGCAGAGACATTTGGGGAGGGGGCTTTTCCTAAAAGCCACCTCGAGCCTCCCAGCGTGCAATTTGTGGCTATTGTCCCTTGTTGGATTGTCTGATACCACTTAGCTCTTCTCTGTCCTCTTTGTAATTGTCCTCCAAGTAGATGTAGCTGCTGGTAAGTTGATCCTTCATTGGCTGAACCCAGCTCAGATCCCACCACCTCTAGTTATAGTCACAGAATCACAGCACAGAATATGCTGAGTTGGAAGGGACACACAAGGTTCATGGAGTCCAACCCTCAGCCCTGCACAGGCTCATCTCCAAGAGTCCCATCCTGTACTCCAGAAGATCATCCAAACCCTCCTGGAGCTCTGGCAGCCTTGGGGCTGTGCCCACTGCCCTGGGGAGCCTGGTCAGTGCCCAACCACCCGCTGGGGGAAGAACCTTTGCCTGAGATCCAACCTGACCCTGCCCTGACACAGCTCCAGCCATTCCCAGGGTCCTGTCCCTGGTCCCCCCAGAGCAGAGCTCAGTCCCTGCCCCTCCTCTGCCCCTCCCCAGGAAGCTGGAACTGCAGTGAGGTCTCCCCTCAATCCCCTCTTCTCCAGCTGAACACACCAAGTGCCCTCAGTGTCCTCACATGGCTTCAAATCAAGGCCCTTTCTATCTCCCTGTCCCTCCTTTGGACACTCTCTAATGGCTCAATATCTTCCTGACATTGTGTCCCCCCAAACTGCCCCAATGTTGAGGTGAGGCTGCCCCAGGGCAGAGCAGAGCGGGACAATCCCCTCCCTGATGCCCCCAGGACAGGGTTGGCCCTCCTGGCTGCCAGGGCACTGCTGACTCCTGGTCAACTGGCCACCCACCAGGACCCAAGACTTCCCAAAATGTACATGTTTGAAGGTGACTCATTAGAACAGGGAAGATTTGTCAGTGTCTGCATTTCTGATGGAAAAGTAAAACCTCTCCATCAGACGGAGGGGGAAGTCCAGTGTGGTGTTTCCTCCTGGTCAATGAGTGACATGGGATTTAAATCCTAATTTTTCTTGGAAGCTTTTGAGGGTAAACAATCAATTATTTTGTTTGAAAGCAGGAAGAACAGCCCCAAACTGGCCCTCAGCCCTCACTCAAAAAGACCAGAGTTAGACCACTCAAATATTTTGCAATGACAAAATCACATCCTGGAGCCCAGAAAGCTCAGTTGTGTCAGGTGTGTCACGGCAGTGGAGGCACCTCCACAGGAAATCCACCACAGTACAACACCCCCAGGGCAGGACCAGGCAGGACAAGAGGCATTTGCAAACGTTTTATTGCTGTTGCTACAGCCCAGGTTAAACACTTGAACATATAAGGTTGTACAAGGTACAGAGTCCAGAGGAAGCCAACACAGCAGCGGCCCTGTAAGGCAAGGTTTCCATGATTCCATGTGTTGATCAGGGAGGTGGAATTGTCTGAGAAAAGGCAGGGAACTGAGTTTGTGAATCAAGGATTTCTGGGCTTCCAGTGATGGCCTCTCTACTCCAAACTGAAGCTGAGGAGCAGCACACAGAGTGAGCCAACACTGAGACAACCAGAGAGAGGGGAGGCAGGTGTGTCATCCTCTCTGAGACATGTCCACTTCCAAGACTTTGTGTGGACAAACAGCAGAAGGATGTTGCCCTGCAAGAGGATCCACACCAGTTATGGTGTGGGAGGACACACACTTTGGAGGGGGTCTGTGCACAACCTTTTGGGGCAGGGCATCTTTTGCACTCCCTCTGCATTTCCATGCTCCTCAGCTATTACCACACTCTGCAGTTGGATATTCCCTTTAAGGTGGTCAGAGCTGTCTTGCCCTGACCCTCTGCTTTGCTTTCAGTTAAGGGCTGCATTCACAGTATCTCTTAAATGTGGAGGGGCATTAAGGAGCCAGGACTCCACATTTGGTGGGACTTGTCCTGTCTTGCACTTGTGCCTGACACTGTTCCCGCCACAGGGATGTGCTGTTGGCCATTAACAACATGGAATCATTGATCCACCAGGGTTGGAAAAGACCTCCAAGATCACTGAGTCCAACCACCAACCCAGCACTGTCACGTTCACTGCTAAAACACGGCCCCAAGTGCCACACCCACACATTCATTGAACAACTCCAGGGATGGTTACTCCACCACTGCCCTGGGCAGCCTGTTCCAATGCCTGACCACCCTTTCCATGAAGAAATATTCTGGTTTTCCAGCTTAAACTGCTGTTTCCTTTCGTTCTGTCTCTTGTTACTTGGGGGCAGAGCCCGACTCCCCCCAGCTCCCCCCTCCTGTCAGAGAGTTGCAGAGCCAGAAGGTCCCCCCTGAGCCTCCTTTTCTCCAGGCTGAGCCCCCCCAGCTCCCTCAGCTGCTCCTGCTGCTCCAGACCCTTCCCAAGCTCTGTTCCCTTCTCTAGACATGCTCCAGCCCCTCAATGTCCTTCTTGTTGTGACAGACCCAAAACTGAACTGTGAGGTGTCTCAGCAGTGCCCAGCACAGGGACAGTCCCGGCCCTGGCCCTGTTACCACACAATGGCTGGTACAGCCCAGGGGCCACTGGCCTTCTTGCCCATCTGGGCACACCTGGGCTCATGTTCAGCCACCATCAACCAGCACCTCCAAGTCCTTTTCTGCCCAGGCAGGTTTCCAGACCCTTTTCCTCAAGCCTGGAGCATTGCCTGGGGTTGTTGTGACCTGGATCCCCTGTTTCACCTGCCTTGGCCTTGAGTGGGCACAGGAAGGGAGAAGAAAATGCACCTGTGGCTTTGCAGTTGCAGGTGCTCCTGTCCTCAGTGCAGGGCTGCCCAGGATGACGTCCTTTCCCTCAGCATCTTCACTCACACCTGGAGACATCTGCAAACAGACACCCTGCCCAAAACACCCAGAAAGATTCCCACACATTCCTGTGGTTAAACATCACACACCCTTTCCTGTACACGGAGATGGTCACAGGCCTGAGTCCAGTTGGAATGTCCCAGCTTATGTTCATGTGGCCCTGCTCACAAGAGTGAGCTTCTATTTCTCTGCTGAAGTGCTACAACATCCTTGGTGTGACCACCACTCCTGTAGAAATCCATGGAGCCAAGACCACATCGTTCTCTGCTCTTTTCACAGTTTCCTCCTCATGACCTGGAGAAAAAAAGGATCCCAGGGATCCCAAGCAGGGCCTGGGATCAGGCGTGGGGCCATTTTTTAGCACGTCAGGCTTTTGGCAAACCCAAGTAAGGGATCTTGCTCGTGGTAGATGGGCTCCTGAAAAGCCATGGAAAAACCCTTGGACTGAAGAAGAGATATTTTCTGAGAGACAGAGGGCATTTTCAGCCTTTGATGATACCAGTTGTCACCAAACAGACAACTAAAGTGTGGACACTTCAGTGCTCAGTTTTGTTTTTATGGCATCCAAACACAATCCCCTCAGCACATTCCCACCTCTTTTTTATGTTCTGCAGGCATCTCCAGCTGGCCTGTTGTGCATTTTGGGGGGGTTGCCAGCCATTAAACCCATGTCAGAAGCGGGAAGCCATTTTAGAAGCATTTATTTGGCAAAAGAGTCATTTGCCACCACCTTTCCCCTTTTAAATGGCTTCCATGGAGCCAACCAGAGTCTGGTAAGACACAGATTTGAAGCCACCTCCCAGAAGAGGTGAGGGGAGCAGGGGGTGTTTAGCTGTAGAACACGGGCTTGCGGAGCACACGCACCACATTGTAGGTGTTCAACCCCGGGGCATCAAAGCCAGGAGACAAACCCTTGCGGTCAAAGGGGTAAAAGTTAAAGAGCTGCCCATTTTGGGTCTCCAGGGAGATGGAGGCAGAGCCCAGGTGCAGGACACACGGGAACTCCTTGTCAAAAACAACTTGGAATACACGATCCTCCAGGTGGTGGAGCTTGATTGTCCGATACTTCTCAGGGATCAGCTCTTCTACATGAGGCCCAAACTGCTGCATGATCAGCACCCCACCAATGCCAACTTTGATCTCATAGAAAGTCAGGTTGGAGTAGGTGTAGTAGCCAACATAAGGGATGGGGTTTGGAGGGGGGATCACACTCTTCTCTGCCTCCCTGAAAGCCGTCTCCATGGCCGGAATGAGATACTCATAAGTCTGAGTCACAACATCCCCACCCTGAGGCCTGGGCCCTGACATGAGCACAATGAAGCTCAGGTGGAGCTTGGGGATTAGAGAGAAGGTGGCTGAGTAGCCATCGAGGTCCCCATCCTTCCTGATGATGTCGTAGCCCAGCTGCTCGTTGATCTCCCAGGGCGTGCCGGTCTTGTTGGCAAAGTAGTCGCTGGAGCACTTGAGCAGCGGGGTCAGCATGGTCTTCACCGTGTCAGGCTCCAGGAGCCGGCGGTGGTAGGTGCCCAAGAAGACCATGGCCAGCTTGGCCAGGTCGGCAGCCGTGGAGTACATCTGCCCCGAGGGTCTGTACCAGCCCAGGTCGTAGAGCGGGGCGGGCTGGCGGCTGCTGTAGAAGCCCACGGCCATCTGGGAGCGGATGGGTGGCGTGAGGTCGAACCCCGTGTCCTCCATGCCCAGGCGGTCCAGGATGTGCTCCGAGATCCAGCGCTGGTACTGCCCGTTGGCCCCATGCTCGGCCAGCACGTGGGCCAGCAGGGAGAAGGCCAGGTTGCTGTAGTGGCACCTGGGAAGGAGGAGGAATATCTCGGGATCAGCTTTACCCAGTGAGGATGGGACAAAATGGGGGCTGTGTCTGTTGTTTAGGGGGTGTTCACATTTTAGGGAATGATGTGCTAAAGAGAGAGGAGAGATGAAGGAGATCTCATCACTCTCTACAACTCCCTGACAGGAGGTTGTAGACAGGTGGGGATTGGTCTCTTTTCCCAGGCAATGATCAGCAAGACAAGAGGGCATGGTCTCAAGCTGTGCCAGGGGAGGTTTAGGTTGGATATTAGGAAGAATTTCTTTGCAGAGAGGGTGCTCAGCCATTGGAATGGGCTGCCCAGGGAAGTGGTGGATTCTCCGTCCCTGGAGGTTTTTAAGATCAGACTGGATGTGGCATCAGTGCCATGGGCTGGGAACCACAGCGGGGTTGGATCAAGGGTTGGACTGGATGATCTCAGAGGTTCCTTTCCAACCCAGCTGATTCTGTGATTCTATGAGAGACAGGGATACAGTGTGGATGTGGATATGAAAAAGTAGTGACTATATGTCATTTAGGGAAGATTCATTTTATGGGATGACATGGTAAAAAAAGATGAAGGAGAGACAGGGATACAACATGGATATGGATATGGGTATGAAAAAACAATGGCTATGACTCTTATTTAGGGGACAAAGCACATTTTATGGAATCACACGCTTAAAAGAGAGGAGAGATGAAGGAGAGACAGAGGAAATACTCTGTGTTGTTTCCTTGTTGTTAAATCAAGGAAGAGAAATATTTTACAGCAACATCAGCAGAGTTGTATAACTCTGATGGACAGAAAGACCTGGAGATGGAACAGGAACACTCCTGTATATTTGCATACCTTGACTTATTGTTTATAACAGCTCACAAAGAACACATCCATTCTTTTTAAGAGCAAATGGAGAGTTCCAGGTGTTTGCTGAGAGGTCTCAAAATCCCAGGTAAGCCTCTTTGGGGATTGACTCTAGTTATAATCACTTAACCACCTAAGCAACCTTAAGATGGTAAAAGCACTTAAAGAGCACTTAAAAGCCCACAAAGCAGCAACCAGCACTGTGGAGGCATTAAAGAAGTGCTTCAGTCTTTAATATCCATCAAGTGATTTAAGTCTTTATGCCTGAATGCAGTTTAATGGCATGAAGACATGAATGAGCAAGTTTTTTTAAACACATTTTCAAAATTAATTGTATTTTCAACTTGGTTGTTTGGTTGTTTTTTTTTCAACTGTGTTTTTTTTCGACTGTTGTTTTTTATCATCTGACTGAGGCCTATTTAGGTCATAAATTTGGTACCACTTCAACCTTTTCCAGCCCATCTGGCTGAATAAAAGCATGATGAGCATATATATTTATTACCCTAAGAATAAATACATTCTGGATCTAAAATTTGATGTCTGAAATGGAGCTGAACTTCAACATAGGAAAATATATTAAAATGTCTGTGTCAATAAATGGGAACTTCTCTTGGGAAGTATGTCCAGGAACAGAGAGAAAGTTAAAACTATCAACATTAAGTTGATATTCATTAAGTTATTAAGATGTTATGAGACTATGAGGGGATGTCCCTGTGTATCTTCATGGGGAGCACAATATAAAGATACCAATAAAGATAATACCAATAAAGATATAAAAATATCAAAGAAAATTATGCTATTAAAGTCTTAAAATCCTTTAAGGAATATCTGTTGTAGACTCCTACATGATATGGGAGAGAATCAACAGAAGTGAAGGAACCTCTGAGCTTTCCTCCTCCATGGCCATGGTAGATCCTCAGCCATCCTGGGCAAATTATTTCAGGATTTCACTCTGCAGACTTGGAAAAAATTTTGCCAAGTCATTTGTAATCCTTTCTCTCACCTGATGTTCACTGGATGCTGTTTAAGGAAGTGTGGAAGTGTCCAAGGTTGGATGGAGCTTGAAGCAATCTGGTCTAGTGGAAGGGGGGTGGAACAAGATGATCTTTAAGGTCCCTTTCAAATCATTCTGGGATTCTGTGATTCCATGATATTTTTGAGTGTTTGCAACTCAGGTAATGGACTTTTAACAGGCCATAGAAATTATAAAAAGCATTCACAGACCTTATAGATAATTTAGAGACATACAAGTGACTACAGACACGATTTTAACTGAAATCTGTGATGTTTTAAACTGTTTACATTAACATTTCCACTGTAGAAAACCTGCATTTAAGGCTTATTGGACCCAGCTATGGCAGTTTAACTTGCCTCATCTAGACTTAAAAAATGAAAAACAGATTTACAGAATATTCTGAGTTGGAAGGGACCCACAAAGGTCATCAAGTCACTTCCAGCCTCAGACAGGGGTGTGGGGAGGTGGCTGAAGCTCCCTTTGGGAATGTTTATCCACTGGCCACGGAGGCTGCAGGTGGGGCTAAGAGTGAAGAACACACTCCTAAAAGCTCCTAAAATTAATCCATCTGATCTGCTAAAGAGAGGAGAGATGAGGATACAATGTGGTTATGGATATGACAAAATAGTGGCTCTGCCTCTTATTTAGGGGAAAATTCACATTTTATGGAATGACATGGTAAAGAGAGGGGAGGGATGAAGGAGAGACAGGGATACAGTGTGAATATGGACGTGGATACGACTGAAAGCTCCCAAATTAATCCATCTGACCTGGTTCCTGGATCAGCCACCAGCACATCATCCTTCAGCAGAGCCAGGGCGTCCTGCGTGGTGCCCTTCCACAGCAGGCTGGTGGATCTCAGCCTCCTGGGCAGACCTGTGCCAGGGAGAAGAGATTAATTCCAGAGAAAGCATGGAAATGCTGAGTCTGGTGAGGAGGGAACAGAAGCCGAGGCAGTCGCGAAGTGGAAGCAGCAACGAGGGACTCGTGTGCTTTGCAGACACAAGGACCTGTTCCCACCACACTGCAGGACCCCCCAGCCTGGGTGATGTGAGTCCTGCCCAGCATGAACTCGGGGTGCTACAGCTCAGTGAAAAGACCTCCATGAATGATCCATAACCTCCTGTATCCCCAGGGGTGTTTTGGCTTGTTGGGTCTTGGGGAAATCCCTGCCCATCTTCCCACGGGACTCTATTCCCGTGACTACAAAGGTGTGTGACAGCCCCTTTGACCAGAATTTCATTCTTCACATCTCACTTTGGAGGGCTTGAACTTCTCCGAGTGGCTCCAAGCTTGGCCTAAAGTATTTTTGTCTTCCCCCTGGCCCATCTTTAGCAACATTTATTCAAAGGTTCTGAATGTAGGAAAAAACAAAATTCTTTTTACTGAATGTAGAAAATTCTAAGGTTTTTTTAACTTTTAGTTCCACACTGAGCATGGATTCCCTAAAATCTTTTGGCCAGTAGTTTTTAAATTGCCTCAGTTCCTCTGAACAGATTCTGTGGCTCTCCATGTCCAGAACTTGGATTACACCCAGAGTGGAGTCCCTGTGGCTGTTTCCAGCTCACTCTGATGTAGAAGTGAGGAGGAAATTGGGAAGTGTTTGTGACAGAAAAGCAACTTGTAACAGTCTGCTCAGTGATTATGGGCTTAATCATAGAAAACTATGGAATTGTTAATGTTGGAAAATCCCTCTAAGATGGAGTCCAACCATCAGCCCAGCACCAATCACCACCATGTCCACCACTAAACCACGTCCTCAGTGCCCCACCCAAACGTTGTTTGAACACTTCCAGGGATGGGGACTCTCCCACTGCCCTGGGCACCCTCTTCCAATGTTTTTCAAACCTTCCTGCGAAAATCTCTTTCCTAAAATCCAGTCTAAACCTTCCTTGGTGCAATGTGAGGGCTTTTCCTCTCCTCCTGAATCCTGGTAAAGCTGAAGGAGGCCCCACCCTTTTGGAGCAGCAACTCTTGCTTTTCTCGGTTGGCCTGACCTTGGGATTTGAGCTGGAATGAGAGCACTGTTTGTGCTCCTGCTCTGTGGTTGTTTGTGCAGCTGAATGACCAGGTAAGTGATGCACTGATCATCTTCCAGCTCCTCCAGCTCCTTCGTTTTCTACTTGCTGCAAAGACAACATTGAACCACTGGGAGAGTTCCCCAGAGTCCTGACAGCAGTGCAATATCTCTCCTGAGGTTCATTAGGAATGATAAACCAGAGGATGTGTGAGCATAATATAACCCACAGTCACTGATTTATAGCCCATGGGCTGCTAATTGATGTGACAAGCACACTGTTAATAATTTACAATCTCATCCCATTCTGTCATTCAGATGTGTTTGAAAATCCTGGGCTTAACAAGCTGGAGCTTTCCCCCAGCAATGTGCTGAGTGCTGAGGAGAAAAACCTTTGGAGTTCCTTTTGTATTATGCAATGGAGAAGAGCCCAGATAATGAGAATCTATTAGAGATCACTTTCCACTGGAAGAATTCAGATGAAAACCACTTTACAATGTGTCATGCAGCGGCTTTGATCCTGGTGCCAAGCAGAACCTATTCCTTTTTGGGGTTTTGACAGACAGTAAATGTAACGTGGGACCTCAACATTCAATTGATTTTCTGTTGGGATTTTGAAACTGTGCCTTTGCTTCTACTGAATTGTCAGGGTCTGAGGCAGTTGGTGTGTCCTGCTGGTGTGGTCTGGGAAATTTGGGCCAAATTCTAAAAAAAAAAAAGGCATAGGAGCACAAAAGGAGCTGAGCAAGGGCACAAATCCAGGCAGTGATGGAAGCAATGGGGGGGCTGCACAGCACAAGCACAAGTGACCAGGTGCACTTTTGACATGTGCTTCTCACAACATTTCTAGGGTGCACTTCACACCTCACTGGGTGACAGGAGCAGCCAGAGCAGCTCCAGATACTCCTGAGAGTCAGAGGGGACTGGGCAGGGTGGGTAATTCCTGGGGACAACATGTGGGTAGAGCCAGACCCTGCCTGCAGGGAAAGGGGTTGGGCAGGGATGTGGCCATTGGCCACTTTGGGCTGTTTGTGGGTTTGTTTCCAGATTTCATCCACATCATTCCATTTTGGGGAGCCCTTATTTTGATACTGGTTTGCTTCACGGGATGCTGTGCCCCATCCTGCAATTTGCCTACCTGCTGTTTTGATCTTGGCTCCTAATTTTAGGGCATTTATTCCAACCTGGAATAATGCAGATGCTACAGAGATTAACCAAAATGCCACAAAAGATACCAGCACAGTCTCTTTGGCCATTTTAAATTTTGGAATCTCTCAGTCAAGTGTTAGCAGCTTTATTTTGGAGAAAGGTTAAAGTTCTGAGACCTGTGAGCTCCTTCTACCTTAATGTAACAGTTACCCAGTTCTGAAGCAGCAGCACATTAATACTTCTCTGCCAACAAGTGCAGAGCCATGAATAGCTCAGGAATCCCAGCTCAGGAGCCACACTGGCAGCTAAATTTAGCTCATCAATCAAGGTCTTTCTATTCAAAGCAAAGAGGTTTGGTGCCCCTTTGACCCCCAACTCTACATCTCTGAAAAAAACAGAGCACTCTGGGCTGGAGCACAAGGCACTATTATGCAATAAGAGCCTGGTTTCAGGATATTTCAGGAATAAAACGGTGGGATGCACCAGGAATAAAATATTGTGGGGTGTTGGGATATCTGGGGAATAAAATACTAGGGTGTGGTGGTAACATAATGATGAGATAAAATATGGCAGGAATAAAATATTGGGATATGTGACACGTAGAACTTTGTGATATGATGGAACTTAAAGTTGGGATATGATGGGATTTAATGTTGGGAACATGATGTGAATAAAGAATTGGGATATGTGAGGAACAGAACACTGGGAATGAAATGCTGGTGCGTGTGTTAAATCCAACCCTGGGATACCTGTGGTACCAAACTGTAAGGAATCTGAATCACTTTCCAGGGGAAAAACAATTCCCCAGCCCACAGGGCAGGTGGCCTGGAACAAGAGTTTCCTTTTAGCACTCCAGGAAGCTGCTCCCAGGAATCCTGCTGACCTCTGGGAAGGGCACAGGGGAGGGTCCATACCGGGAAACACCTTCTCAGCAGCCTTTTGTACCCCTGGGACTTAGGCTGTGGGCTCTGAGGTGGCCTAGAGCAGGGCTGTCTCACCTGAGAGCTGACTGGCCATCCTGCGCAGGGTGACGGGCGATGGCTTCGGTGGCATCGAGCCCTTCTCCAAAAACACCAGCCCATCTGCTGTGTATCTCTGCTCTGAGTCCTTCAGCCTTCCCAGGGGGTTCTTGATAACAAAGTTCTGGGCATAACGCTCCAAGGGGTCATCCAGAGACGTGACCTTGCCTTCCTCCCACATCTTGTACAGCATAATGGTGGGGAAGATCTTGGAGACGCTGGCAATTCTGTGAACGGATGAACACGGAGAGAAATTAAACTTTAGGAAGCTCATGAATCAAGAGGAAAGATGGTACATGAGATCACTGTAGCTTCCATGGCACCAAGGCTGACAGAGCTCAAGGAGTCCTTGATAATCCAAGATGATCCTCTGGAGCACAGGGTGGGACTCAAGGGATGGGCCTGTGCAGGACTGAGGGTTGGACTGGATGATCCTTTTGGGTCCCTTCAAACTCAGCATATTCTGTGAGTCTGTGACACCTTTGCCCGTTCTGAAGGGAAGGGTTAAAATATAGGTAAGAAGCTTGAATTAATATCCTTAAATCTGAACCTTTATTGACCAACAACCTCTGTGCTCAGCAGTGCAGTGGCTGCAGATCTTTTCCTAGTCACTTAGTATTCATAAAATTACCTATTTTGTAAATGATTGGTTAGTAAACACCATAAAGGAAGGGCAGGCACTGATCTCTGCTCTGTGAGGACCAGGGACAGGGCACCAGGGAATGACCTGAAGTTGGGTCAGGGCAGGTTCAGGTTCTCAGGAAAAGGATCTCAGGAAAAGGTTCTTCTCCCAGAGGCTGGTTGGGCACTGCCCAGGTTCCCCAGGGTAGTGGGCACAGCCCCAAGGCTGCCAGAGCTCCAGGAGGGTTTGGCTGATCCTCTGGGGCACAGAGTGTGACTCTTGGGGATGGTCCTCTGCGGGGCTGAGGGTTGGACTGGATGCTCCTGGTGGGTCCCTCCCAGCTCAGCACATTCTGTGATTTTGGCAACAAAAACTTACTGGAAGTTTATTGGAATTTTACGGTTAAAATCACAGACTTACAGAATCCTTTAGGGTGGAAAAGACCTCTAAGATCATCAAACCCCACCATTTACCCGGGGCCACCCCTAAACCTCGTCCCCAAATGCCAGATTTGCACATTTGGAGCTGCCTCCAGCCCATCCCTGTGCCGTAACCGGGCAGCGCGTTCGGCTGTTAACCGAGAGGTTGGTGGTTGGAGCCCACCCAGGGACGTGCATCCTGACTCCAGGGGTTGCAACTACACCTTTAATGTTGGAACTTACACCTTTAATGTCCCTTCCAACCCAAACCATCTAATGGTTTTCTGGTAGGAAAATAGCAGAAGGTCATTTTACCGTTATTACAGATGGGGAAGAAACAGGTGATCTGAAACTTTCCAAAACTGTCTATTCTGAGAACAAAATTGACACTCAGAGTGCAGCCCACGTGTTTCATAGATAAGAGAGGTAGAATTCACTGAAAATAGATCTTTAAATGAGAATCCTTTTTTTTTTTTTTTTGTTTTAGCACACGCTAAGAGCTTGATTCTATATTCACCTGAAAAATAACAGCCAATATGACACTGGGAGGATGAATAAGTGTACAGGTCTATTTTACGTGTAGTAGAAACTCTCCCCAAACCCCAGTTTTTTCCTGGGCTGAAATTTATATTATTATTGCTATTATTGTTATTATTATTATTGCTTTAATTAATATTTTAACCCTCTGGCCCTGTCTCCTCTCTGTTCTCTTTTTTCAGTATCTGTGCCAGTTCTCAACCTTCAGATTTGTGCCCTAGGCCTCCTCAAAGTATGGAGCTACTCCTATGAATGTTTTCAGGTTCTTCAGGATGGTAATTTAAAATATTATCAGATCAAATTAAGAAAAAAAAATCAATAAATACATCCTAAGTAACTCATTAAACCACCAGCAAGTGATAATTGCTGAAGCACCATCTCACAAAGTTTCAAGAGAGGTTCCTGCTCCCTGCGGGAGACACATGACAGTGGCTCCATTTCCTGACTCCCTGCTTGTGCCAGGGTTACACCCATCTGCCTTTTCCTGGCTCTCTGCCCGTGCCAGGGCTCTCACCTGTAAATGGTGTATTCGTTGGGCACAGCCGAGGAGGGGTCGGAGATGTTCTTCTTCCCAAAGTTTCCTGTCCAGAGCACTGTGTCGTTGTAGATGACGATGGCAGACATGGCTGGGAGCCCCGAGCTGTGCATCTTCTGCCTGAGCATCAAATCCACCTGCAGAACGAGGAGAGACCAGGAATTCCCAAATGAAAACTCTTCTAATGCATCCAGCCTGTACCAGACCACCAGCCTTCCTCACTCCTGAGCGCTCCAGAGGGTTTCTATGAAATGCATTTTGTCAAAAGAAAATATTTTAACTGTTTAACAGTTTCTTAGAATTGCTTATGTTGAATTATCCAGTGTCTTCCTTTCAGTCTACATGTCAAAGAACCTGTTGCTCATCCTTCTAACATTTAAAATTAAAACCAAATGCCAACATGCAATAACTGTAAATTCTTCCTTTTTAAATTGTACCCTGCACATCTGTTCTCTGCACTAGTATTTTAGGGTCAAAGATGTCCAAGAAGATGACTTTTCAAATATCCCATGGGACTTTTCACTCCGTGAAACACCTTTGAGCTCAGGCTCCTGTTAAACTGCAACCTGAGAAACAACACAGCAACCAAAGGGCTGTGATTGCCCTTTGCTGCCTGTTGTGCCAGGGCTGTGGAGGTCTCACCATCCAGCTGTGCTCCACCCACCTCCTACAGGCAGAACACATTGATCTTGCCCTTCGGTGGCTTTTTCAAAGCTGTGTCATCACCTTGCATATGTTCTCATTTGGTTGAGACGTAAGAAATTCCTTTCCAGGCCCAGTATTTGAGGCAAGAAAGGCCAAGCTGAGCCATGTCCTCAGGGTCTCTTCCCTGGGTAGACTGGTGAGATGCACTGACAGCAGTGGAAACATCCAACCTGTGCCAAGTCCTTCTGTCAGAGGTTTTTTGCCCTCTGCCCCTCAGGTACCAGTGGCCCATCTGGGAACACCAGCAACTCCTGACAATGGAGTGGTCTCAAGGGGATCATGGAGAGGGACTTTTTATAAGGCCATGCAGTGATAGGACTGGGGGAATGGCCTTAAGCTGAAGGAGGCAAGGTTAGATGGGAATCCTTCCCTGTGAGGGTGGGGAGGCCCTGGCACAGGTTGCCCAGAGAAGCTGTGGCTGCCCCATCACAAGGCCAGGTTGGACACGGCTTGGAGCAACCTGGGCTAGTGGAAGGTGTCCCTACCCATGGCAGGGGGTGGGATGAGTTGGTCTTTAAGGTCCCTACCAACCCAAACCATTCTGGAATTCTATGATTCATTCCATAATCATGGTCCACCTTAGGGTTTTCTTAGAGAGTGACAAATAGACCTGTCTGGACCTGCAGAAAGCTGACAGAAGTACGTGATGCTCTTCAAGACTTGAGTGTCATTGACTCTGATACTTTGGATTTGGTCGCTAGCAAAGCTCTTCTGAGGAAAACATGGACCTTTCTGCTAAACAGAACTATTTACCATTAGAAGAGAAATCTTTCCTTAATCCTCATGCATGAGGGAAGGTCACTCTCCCATTTCAAGCTGCCATGGGCTGGGAAAAGGTCCTCCCCTGTGTGCAATGTAACAGCATCTGGCACTGCCCAGATTGCCAGTTCCAAGTGCTGGCCTGGCACTGGATGGTGACTTGTCTCAGGTACTGCAAGACCTTCAGTGTGTGTCTGTGTCCACAGGCTTAGGCAGAACCTGAGGGCCTCTGAAGATACACCTTTAAGGTGCTCATTCCTAAGCCCCCTTCAAACACCTGTGTCTTCCATTGTTGAAGTTCCCTGTGCCTTATTCAGGCTGCAAAATGGGAATGTTTTCACCAGGCTCTTCAAAGAAGTGCTTGGATACTTCATTTCCCAAGAGTGCAAAAGAGGAGATTGGATGACTCTGTGGTGGACACTCAATGTTCTGCACATCCCTCACCTCTCTGACTAATCCTAATTGAACAGTAAAACACTCTGCAGCAACTCCAGAGACAGGCAGAGACTTCCTAAGAGTGGATGTGAAGTGCTGGGAATTGAAATTCCGTGTGGATGTAGCTCTGTGTGTGCAGGAGAACAGTCCTGAGCACTCCCACCCACACCTGGGCTGAGAGCTGGTCCTGGGCTCCCAGGAACAAAACCTGGGGGCTCTGCTGGCTGCTCCTGGGAAAGCACCTGCTCAGTGCCTTAAGGTCAATCAGATGGGAAGGATTATCAGAGAAGTAGCATAAAATAAAATTGGAAAGCCATTTTTTCATTGTAAATTCACTTGCATCATGAATGTTGTAGTCAGTGCTGAATTCCTGCTACTTGTGAGAAAGAAAAAATGGAAGGGAATGGGATAAGGGGTATAGAAAATCAGGAGTGTCCTCTCCTGATGGTCCAGACAGTCCAGGCAGTGCTGCAGTGTTTCCTAGAGCCTGTCAGAAGTTCAGTCAGTGCTGAAATGTCAAAGACACTTTATGACTCCTAGGGAATCCTGATGTGACATCACACCAAGGGAATATTGATGGAACATCACATCAGGAGTATCCCGATGGTACATCATCCAACCTCCTCTTTTGCAATCTTGGGAAATGAAGTATCCAAGCACTTCTCTGAAGAGCCTGGTGAAAACATTCCCATTTTGCAGCCTGAATAAGGCACAGGGAACTTCAACAATGGAAGACACAGGTGTTTGAAGGGGGCTTAGGAATGAGCACCTTAAAAGTGTATCTTCATTCAGATGCAGGTCTTCTACCTCTTCCCCTTCCCCTCCACTCCCTCCCTTGTACCTACAAGTAGCTTTGTACTTCTTAAACTGTGGCATGGGGAAAGCCAGCAAAGCAAGAAAACAAGGAATTGGCAGTCACTTATAAAAAGGAACTAGTTACACAAATCAACTACTTTCCAGGATACATAATAGACCAGATGCCAAGAGCCATCATTTTGTGCTGATAAAAGCTCACCAGACCTTCCAGTGGACAAGTGATCATGTTTCTCCATCACAACTTGCCCTGTGGGTGAGAGAACTACTTGTTGACCTGTCCTGAATGTTCACTGAAGGAGTTCCATACACCCACTTCTGGGTTCGTGTGTTCTCCACCTCCTCAATTCCCCACATCCTTCCCGGAGATGCTCAGGGGCAAAATACACATTCCCCCCTCTACCCCTGCAGGAGAGCAGCCATGAGCTGTGCCTCCTTCTGTTCCCTTATCCCCACAGACCTTCTCCAAGGCATCCTTCAGGATGGGGATGGGGTGGTCCAGCGGCACCGGCTCAGGGTAGCGGGGACACATCTGCACAGCTTCTGATCTCACTTCCATCACAGAAGGGCCTGGAAAACATTGCAGGGGGAGCACAAGTGACTTCAACAGACACACTGAAAAGGTTTAATCTCACCCACCAGTCACCATGAGATTTCTAGTGCTGTCCAAAGCTGAAGGACACTTCTGCACTGGAAAGGGATAATCCCGAGTTGTGTTTGTCTCACACAGAATAGGACTTGCAGGACCACTGTGTTCTGTTATCACTTATTCCAACATAGGATGGACTTCAATTGACTCTTAAACCTGGAAGAGTAAAGGACTGGGACTACAGTCCCACCTGACAGTGGGTTTAACCCCCATGGAAGTGCCCTGCCCATGTCTGGAGGAAAGTCTGAGTTGGGGTTCAGGAGAACAGTGCTGGCCCTTGCATTTTGTAACCTCAGAAATGGGTATTGAAGTGTGAGTGTCCCCTGAGCTCCAGCACTGTCACAACAGCTGCAAGGTTGCACACCTTCTGTGTTAGTTGTCCCCTGAATTCCCTGCATCCTGCCTGTGCCACAGAAACAGCTGGAATTTTTGTGGTGAGCAAAGCTCTTTAAACTCACTGAGAGGTGGGAACTGTCTCACTTGGAGGCACTGTTTTTCACAGCTCCTCTGCTCTGTGAGCTGCAAACAAATGCTTCTCTGTGTTCTTGCTTAGTAGGTGAACATGAAGCATCAGAACTAGAGATGAGGGGAGAAATGACACTAAGAAATCTTGGAGATGCATGGTATGGACACACAGAGAGCCCACAGGCAGCCTGGTACTCTGTGACAAAAATGTAGGGTCTGAAATGTTTTCCAGACCTTGGTCTGTGAAATACCTCTGAATTCACCATAAATTTTAAGTCACCTTTGGGCTACTTAAAACTCTGATTTAATCCTTTAATATTTAATCCTTGCACATACATTGGCTTGAGACTATTGGTTGAGTTTTCTATAATCAATAGAGGAGGCAATGGAGCTGCTCCAAGGGCTGGAGCCCCTCTGCTCTGGAGACAGATTGGGAGAGCTGGGGGGATTCACCTGGAGAAGGGAAATTCCAGGGAGACCTGAGAGCCCCTTCCAGTGCCTAAAGGGGCTCCGAAAGAACTGGGGAGGGACTCGGGACAAGGGATGGGGTGACAGGACAAGGGGGAGTGGATTCAGACTGCCAGAAGGCAGAAATAGATGGGATATTGGGAAGGAAATGTTGGCTATGAGGGTGGGGAGGCCCTGGCACAGGTTGCCCAGAGAAGCTGTGGCTGCCCATGGATCCCTGGAAGTGTCCAAGACAAGGTTGGACGGGGCTTGGAGCAACCTGGGATAGCAGAAGGTGTCCCTGCCCATGGCAGTGGGTGGAACTGGATGGGCTTTAAGGTCCCTTCCAACCCAAACCAGTCTGGGATTCTATGATTCTATGATTCTACAAATTCAAGTGTGAACCAAGGGCTTAAGCCAGTTCAAAGGTCTAAGATTAGGGGCATAGCAAAGGAAGCATTTAGCAAGGTGTAAAAGAAACCTGTTCTAAGCTGGAGTGACTTTTACAACACAGAAAAGATAAAGAATGTAAAATCAAATGTCTCCTCGGTGTTTCAGTTAACCAAAGATGAGCAGCAGAAGTAATGGGGCTTCTCTGGACACCAGCAGAGTTATGTGGTCCTCCATCAATCCAGTGTTCATCTCCTCTGTGTCCTTGCACCAGCAAGGAGGAAGAAATTTATGTGTTGTCTGGAGAAATTTGTGTGTTTGGGGAAATGCTCTTTGGGGGAAAATGGGGAGAAAGGGTTTTATTAGTGTCCCAAATTTCTGTGCCAAACTATGAGCAAGGTTCAAGTAGAGTACTCACCGGGCTCCACCTTGGGGAGGCTGTACTGCCACAGGAAGCAGCCTGTCATTGCCACAGAGAGCAGGAAGAGGAAGACAACCAACACATGGATCCACTTCACCTCCATGGCAGTGAGTTTGAGGAAGCTCCGGCTGCTGGGAGCCTTCTGCGAGCAGAAAAGGGGTCAGAGAGAGAGAAAACACCTCTCCTGCATTTCAGCTGGTGAGAGAGGCCCCATGCACCAGAGAATAAAGCTGCTGAAGGGACAGAGATTGATTTGAGCCCCCTGGTCCAGTGGAAGGTGTCCCTACCCATGGCAGGGGTGGAGCGAGATGAGTTTTAAGGTCCTTTCCAACCCAAACCAGTCTGGGATTCTGGAATAATGTCAGCACCAGAGCTGGGCATACCAGCCTGGGTTGGGATAACTGGAACCAGAGATGACTTCTTGCCTTTCAGTGGGGTTTTTAATCCTTACCTTGTGGGTTCTTGTAGAAGAACACAACCACTCCTTCTGCCTTCCCCCTCCCTGCAGGTTAACACCCAGCAGACAGGATTCTCAGATACTGCTCTCAGTTCCACCCTTCTCAACCATCAGGACTTATTCCTGGATATCTTTCCAGTCCCTTTTTTTCCAGAGTCAGCATCTGTTCGTGGCAGCCACCAGCCAGATCATCTGAGCAGATCCAGCTTTTCTAGATGAATGACGGAATTTTTTCCCCATTTGCTGCCCTCACCCTTCCATGTTGTGCCTGTAAATCCCATCCTATCACACACCATCTGTAAGCTTGGCGTTTACAGATGCCACATTTTGGGAGACTGGCTGATATTTTGAGTGTGTGCAGCTCTCACAACACTGGAGACCATCCAGGTTGGGAATAGAACTAGATAAATGTTGAAGAAAAACAAGGAACAGATGACAAACGAGGAGGTGCCTGAGCCTGGGCTGTGCTCCTTCACTGCCTGCAGGAGGTCAGGAGGGTGCTTTTGAAAGTTTGGCAATTAATGATACAAAACATATGGGCTGCCATTTGCATCCAATATGGTCCACATTCCAAAGCTGTTTCAGGTTGTCTGGACTCACTTGTAGGATAGACAGATTGAAATATTCCCTTTAGATTTCCACACGGCCCTTTTCTTTTCCCTTTTTTTTTTGAGATGCAGGAGGGTTCAGGCAAAAACTTCTGCAAATCAGGTGAGCCTTGTCAGTCCCAACCAGGGAATTTCAGACTCCCACACGGCTCTGTGGCTCAGGAAGGATCCAGCTGCTTTTTCCAGCCCCTGAGGAAACTCTAGGTTGCACTTTCTGCACAATAACAGGAACATATCACAGTTCTTTCTAAAGCTTTTCGGCCTGTTCAGACATTCCCACGGGAATTTCTGAAGGCAGGTTCTTCCATTACACGATTAAAACTTCAAGGGTGGCTTAAGACCACACAGGTACCTGCAACCCACCCCAACCTGAGCCTGCCAGAGCACACGAGGTCCATATTCCACTCTGTGATGTTTTTCTAAACAGGGCAATGCCATTTTAGCACCAAACCCATTTTTGTTTGGATGTCCCAACCTCCTGAAGTGACTCAGTAAGTAGGAGATCACACTGCCCCAGGAAGAGCCTGTGTGTTGAGATCTCTTTAATCCCCCATCCTGTTATTGTTCAGTGTAGGCTGAAGGATGTCACCTAGAGCTGTTTTCCTGCAGCAAGGAGTGCCACAGGGCCCTCTTTGCCCTGCAGTGTTCATGGGATGACTTTTTTTGGGTTCAGTCCCATCAGAATAATGTGTTTCCCCCACCTATTTTCTCTGTTTTTCTGCCTCTTCCCTTGTTTCACTGAGAAACCCTGATTTCTGGATTCTTCAGAGCAGAGTGAAAGGAAATACTTTTTCTGGTATATTCCTCATCTCACAGATTCCAGACTCCCTGGATCACTAACTGAGGACCCAAAGATACCAACACTGAGCTCATCCTTTAGTCCAAACATCCTTCAGTCCAACCTCCCCTTTACCTCTTGTGGATCATGAGTGCCCTGAATGGCTCTTTTTTTATTTTCTGCCCTATAATTTAGTAGGAATGCAAAGAAACCCTGACAATGCCATGGACTAGAGACATGGATCTGTAGCCAGTTGTAGTTGGCTTCCCATCAAACCCCACAGCAGAAAACCTCCCAGAAGAAAGAAAAAAATGGAATAGCAAAAGCTATATAAAATATATATATTTTACATATATCACAGATATACAATTAAGGTACTACGTACATAGGAACACAGGAACCCCAAACTGCTCCCGAAAGGGAAAGAGGGGAAGGGAAAAGGAAAAAAAGGGACAAAAAGGGACAAAAAGGGAAAGAAACAAAACAGGTATGCACAAGCGAAAAACCTGTTAAACAGCAAAATAAAAACTGGCAATAAAGAACCACTTCCCTTGAGAAAAGCAGGACAGCCAGACCTGTTCCCAAACCTACTGCTCCCAAACCTACTGTTCCCAAACCTTGTCAGGAGAGAAGAGAAGGGAGGTCTCTCTGACCACCTTACATATAACTCAGTTTGTGTAAAGGAATAGCATGGAACACTTCTTGGTCACTTCCCAAGTTCCTTCCTGGTTACGAGCTGGTCTCCAGGAAGGCCTAGACCGAAACTATCACAGAATATCTCCTTTATTGATGGGACACCAGATATCCAAAAGTATGAGAAATATTCATCCCCTCTCAGGAGATGCTCTACCCTCTAAACCACCTTTCAGAAAAAACCACCACTGTTTCCCAGTACCTGGGGGAGTGTGAGGGAAGCAGATGGATAAATCCCTATAAACAGACTCCTCACACCTCCCACTCCAGGGCCTGTCTGGTCTCACCTCCTTCTCGGCTGGTTTTATGTCGCCCAGTGACCGTCTCTGCTCGCACACAAACACAGCCGGGCAGAGGGGGGCGAGGGGGGGCTTCCAAGCACTTAAACACATGCAAATAAATGCAAATACATGCAGAACAAGCTCACACGGCTCCCCAGGGGGGGGAGGTTGTCAGCATGATACGTTTTTCCCCCCGAGCTTTGAAAAATTAGGATGGGGAGGGGTAAATATTTGGGATTCCCATGGGCCACCCAGGTGTGCTGTCCACCCACCGTGGACCAGTCGGTCCAGGAACATCCCAACGCTGGTCAGGGAGAGGCAGAAGACCCCCAGCCCCCTCACATACCAGCAGCAGGAGTGTCTCAGTCCCAAAGGCTGTTGTTGTCCCACGTCCAGGGGTGTGAGGAACACAACGACCCTACTCCGCCCCGGGCAGGGGGGAGCGCGGAGTCCCACCATCCCCAAAATTCACCCGCGGGTCACCGCGGGTGCTGCTTCCCAAAAGTCCCGCTCGGAGTCTCCCCGTCCATTGGAGCCATCCAAGCCCTCCCGATGGTGCTGCCGAACACCCCCCCCCGGGCAGGGGGATTAAGGGACGGGGCGGGGGAATGGGGACGTGGGACCCAGAACGGCGTTCGCACTCAGGAAAGTGCCCGAGGGATTGGATGTTGGATGTTAATTCTCCCTAATGCTTCTGTGCCATGTGTGTGAATCACGGCTGAAACCAAGAGGGCTTCACCGTCTATTTATAGCGCTTTCATCTCCTCCTGACACCGGAGCACGAGGCGATTAAGCGGCAGAGGGACAGTCCCCGAGAGGCTCCGGGGCCAGGCTGCTCGGGGAAGGGGAGGTGGGAGATAAACCCGTAGTTCAGGCACTCTCTGGGCTTAATCCTGAGCAGCCTCCTGGAGTTTCCCCGCAGTGACAGACAAGGGAGTCATTCCCAGCTCACCAGACACAACTGGGATTTCTTTCCCTTTAGCTCTGGAGGATGGTGGAGGGTTGTGGTCTGTACGAGGGGAGCCTTACCCGCAGCTGTAACCCCTCCATGGCTGCTCAGGACTCTCTTCTCCTCCCCTGTGCTGCCTGTTTGCACAAACAAAAGGCTCATAAACCCCTGTAATGAAGAGAAACCAACAGTTAGTGCAGGAAAAAAGCAGAGTCAGATCAAGGAGGGAAGTCCAGGGTAACAAAGCCCAGCTCAGGTAAGGAGAACAGCGGGGAGGGACTGGTTTTGGATGGGGAGAGGGGGTTGGAATGATGTGATTTTCCAGCCCAAATCACAGTAACTATGTGAGATAGATCCCCAGTAACACCTTCCATGTCTCTCTCTCTGGTTTGGCAGCACCTTGTATTTACCCTCAAAGAACCATTTGACTCTTTGGGTGATTTGAGGGCCATTCCCAGCTCTCTAAGGGCTCAGTTTCAGAAATTGTCCCTTCCTTCCCCCTTCAAAGAACCACTTGACTCCAGGACTCCCTTGGGACCATTCCCATCTCCCTGAGGGCACTGCCCAGTCCCCTCAGGAGGTGTCCCCTGTCCCCCCAGGCTGGGCAGTATGGTATGGCACAGACTTCTCATTTCCCAGGGCCATCCTCACCCCACCTCCAAACACAAGGAACTGAAGCTTTGAGACCTTCAGGACTGCCACATTTTCACAGTGCCTGCTCCACATGGTCCTTCCAGCCCCCCCCTTTCCCTCTTCACCACCTTGCTCCCTCTTCACAGCCAACAACACCCCCCTTACACTTGGGACTCCCAGACACAGCCAAGGAACTGTGTGACAGGTTTGGAAGTGCCAAGATAATGGCACTACCACCACCTTTCCCATAAAACCTCCCTCATCCTGCTACCTGACAGAGGCAGTTCAATCATCAACCCTCCCTAAAAAAGAGCTCTTACCAGCCTTGCTGCTCCCTTCCGGCTTCCAGCTGATGAATTTGGGGCTGTCCTGCAGCTGCAGATGTCGAGAGCAGATGAAGCACTAATCCAACAGCCTCTCTGAGCACAGATTAATCGGCCAGGCCTCACCCCTCTGCAGCATCTGGCCAGGGATGCAGCCAAAGGAAGGATTGCTGGTGATTTCCCGGCTCCAGCAGCACAGCAGAGTTGAAAATGGGGAGCTGGGGGGCTGGGGCGTGGGTGTCCATAACACCCTGTGAGCTGGAAATGTCAACCATGGGCTGTCACAGCATGGGAGATACCTCAGAAATGCTCCCCAAAGAGGAGGGCATGGCCATGCCCTCACTTATGCACCAAATCCAGGGGGATTACACACCTCAGTGCCATCCTATGGCCTTCCCCAGATCTTGCCAGGTACAGGTACCCTACTCATACCACCCCTTCATTTCAGCATCTCCAGGAGTGGCCCAGAATCTGAGAGTGCCCAAAACACTCTGGTGGAGCCTGTGCCCCTGAGCTGTGCCCAGATTTTGGTGAGTGGGGGCTGCAGATGACCTCCTCACTAATTAGAGTAGATCAAGCTCCTCATAGGTTTGCTGCTCCTCATTTCTGGGAACAACCATTTCCTTCCAACATTCTCTAGGGTGGTCCTGTGCCCAATTATCCCATAATACCAATAATCCATTTGTCCTGGGACCATAGTCTTTAGCTGATGTGTAAAGTGAATCTGTGCAGGTCAAACATCCCTCAAAGGTCTGCCAGGGCTCCCTCTCTAGTTGTAAATGGTTAATCTTCTCCTCAGGAAATATTCATTTGCTGTCTTGATAGACTTGCTGCGCCAAAGATTTCTCTCCAATTTTGTGTTACCTCAGTCAAGGGCACCTCTTTCTCTGTGCTGGGTCTATTTCCCATCATTTTCAGGTACTAAGAGGGATTTGAATCCTATTCCATGTGTGCCTTGTGCTGATCAGGCACACTGGGAAGCAAATTACAGCAGGAGAGGGACTCAACCCCACCCCAACATAGAGAAGGACTTAAACCCACCACAGGATTTTCACCAAATCTGCTCATGGAATTTTAACACTCACCCTTCAGTGCCTCCCATTCCAAAAGGTCCCATGTGAACTCACCCATTGCTGGCAATGGATGTTTGCAGATCCAGTGGTGGTGGTTTGGGGTCACCAAACTGTTAAAGAAATTTCTTCTCCCTTGGTTTCCTGCAGCAGAGTCTCAGATAGCCCATTCCAGGGGAAAAAAAATTAATATTTGAGTGCTCCAGCAATAGAAACAACTTGACCTGGTGCCTTCAAACAGGGACCAGAGCAAAGAGATCCCTGGATTTTCTGCCCTTACAGTCTCTGCAGGTGCTCTTCACACACCTCTTGGTCCAATGGGGATTTTTGGTCTGGAGTCTTCTAACACCTTCTTGGATTCCCTCCCTGTGTCCACACAGATATTGACTTCTCTTATCTCGTGGATTTGCAGCTTTGCTGATGGCTGGAGCCTTCTTGTCTCCTGCTCTGTGCTGGTAGAGCATGGGAAATCCAAACGTCCCTGATTTAGGGTAAGCACTACTTAGCAACAACCCAAACACGAGTGTGTTCTCAGCATTACTCTCATACTGCATCCAAGACACAGCCTGCACCAGCTACTAGAAAAATTACTGAGGAAATGAACTGTATTCCACCAAAGGCCCATCTGGGTGAAAGTTCAGAGCTTGTGACCTCAGGCTTCAGCAAATCCAGCTACTCATGCTCAGCAAGGAAAGCCAAGAAAGCAGCCTGGTAAATCACACAGTGGTGTAACTCTAAGTGACTTATTCTTATTTAAAACTTACTTATTCAGCCAGGCAAGTAATATTTCTCAACCCTCTCCTTGCACTGGCTCAGCGTCCCAGTTTAGAGAAGCCTCAGAACGTGGCAGAAGGGGTGGGAAGAAGATATTGTGGTTCTCTGGGCAGCCTCTCCCTCCTGGGCTGCTCCCTCAGAGCATCCCCCTGTCCCAGGGAGCCTCAGCCAGGAAGGAACAGAGCAATTCTCCTCCCTGCTGCCCCCTTCAAATGGGTTCTGCACAGCAGGGACTGCACACAAAGGATTTTGTGTTTCATAACAGCAGCTCCAGCAAAGTGAGAAGGCTCAGGCTGCAGAGGTCAATCCATGACAGAATCAGAGAATATGCTGAGTTGGAAGGGACCTACAAGGATCAACCAGTCCAACCCTCAGCCATAGGACCATTTCCAAGAGTCACATCATGTGCCCCAGGGGATCATCCAAACACTCCTTGAGCTCTGGCACTTTGGTGCTGTGCCCACTGCCCGGGGGAGCCTGTTCAGTGCCCAACCACCCTCTGGGGGAACAACCTTTCAAGGAAAACTCTCCCCTTTTTTCTTAAAAGCTTTCCCCAGCACTGTTCTTCAATATCTCTGCCTTGAAGGGTATTCCTGCCATTTTCTTGCCACAGGCAGGAGAAAAAGATGCACCTGGAAGTCTTCAGGAAGGTCCCTACTGCTGCCCAGGCACTGATTGGGAGCAGATCCCTGAGCAGGGAACACATCAAGGTTTGCTTTTTCTGGCTGGAGGTAACTGAGGTGGATTTTTGTGCTCAGAGCTGTGTGGGCTCCTGGACTGGGAGGAAAAGCACCTCAAATGAAACAGTCTGAGAGGATGGATAAAGTGCAGGTGTTTAAGTAGTGAAAGAAGGAATTAGGAAGTGACCAGGGCTGGCTCTGGGATGAAAGGTGCAGGAGAGCAGTGACATGTCCCAGGGACAGGGCTCAGCTGCACTGTCACCTCCTTGCTGGGCTGGCAGTGACAAAGGGGGGAGGGAAGGCAATTGGCAGCTCTAATTGCCCCCCTCTCCACCTTTGAACCAGCCTGAGGTGAGGGGGGTTCTCCCCCTTCCCCAGCCCCACATTGCACAGCTGAGCCAGTTCTCTGTTGTCCTCCTGGGTGTCCTTTGTGTACTGTCAGGCCCCACTGTCAGCCTTTGTGTCCAAGTCCCAGCTGGTTCCTTTAATTGCTGGGTTCGTGTGGTTGAAGGGAGCTTTGAAAGTCAAAAGATGGAGCTGAGAGCCAAAGGGGCTCTGGCTGCACGTTCCTGTAGCCAGGATTGCTCTCAGCAGGGTGGGCTTGGATGGCAAGGGAGGGGGTGGCCACTGGCATTGCCCAGCTCAGGAATTCAGGAAGCAAATGAGAAGCCTCATTTGAGAGGAAATATTCCACAATGGAGACAGCTGGGACATATTTAGGTTTCTCCAAGATAAGTAGCACAGAGGCACAATGGTTTTACTCTTTTGTTTGCCATGTCATTAGCCCATGAGCCCAGGATTTGGGGTTTTATGGAAAAAAGGTTTTACAACAGATTGGTGATATAGAAATAATACATATATATTATCTGTATATATAAATAGAATTTATATCATATATACATGATTTATATAGATACATATTGATACTCTCAGGCACAGGGTGTGACTCTTGGGGAGGGTTCTGTGCAGGGCTGAGGGTTGGACTGGATGATCCTTGTGGGTCCTTTCCAACTCAGCATGTTCTGTGATATCTATCTGTGATATCTGTGATATCTGTGATATGTGTGATAAATACATAAACTCTACAGAAATGGAGATTGCTGCTCCCTGCTCCAGTATGGGATATGCTGCACTATGTTCCATGAGGATTTGTCAGGGCTCTGAGGGCACCAATGGCCTGGGTCACCCTCACCTGGAGCCTCCTCCTTCCTGCCCTCCCTGTTGGCCCAAAGGGCTGCATTTAAGCTCAAGACTGAGCTTTTAGTCCTCACTTGAGATTTGCTGTAAGTCTGCTGGTCCCAGCCTAGCTGGGCCCATTCCCTGGCTGGTTGGCAGGGGTGGGAGTGGAAGGCTTAGATAGAATTTTTTTAAAAGCCCTGTTGTTGAGTTCAGAAGGATTCTAAGGATTCCTTAGAATTCTAAACCCCCTGTCAGAAGGAGTCTGGGTGTGGCTGTATCCAATCTTAGCCTCGGATTATGCCAACAACTCAAATTTAAGGAATTATAGAATTGCCATTGAACCATTTTTTGTTTTAATGATTGGCAAAATAAGAATAATTATATAAAAGAATCGTTTATTTATACAAATGATCAGACAAAAGATCTTAATCAGAATTATTTACTACACAATATAAAGGCTAAGACTACCAGTGGTATAGTATAAGATAGGCTGGTGCACTACATTGAAGAAATTATTGAAGCAATTATATTAAAGCTGGCAAAAAGGAATAATTTTTAAGTAGAGATTTGATGTAACTCACCCAGACTGAGGCTTGTGGGGAGATCTCTGCTCTCAGCCTCAAGGAGTGACCCCCCCCAGAAGGGTTCTGTTGGAAGAACCTGCCTGTGTGAAAGGGGACTGGGAATTTGTGGTATAAAGTGATAGTCACAAATTTTCCAGGCCACCTATGAACTTATCTGTCAAATCCTACTTCAAAAGCATGGTGTGTATTCAAAGTCTGGTGAACCAGGATGGTTTTAGTATAATTAACACCAAGATAACACCCTGGGCCAGCAGTTGAACTCGCATGATGCCTGCACAGTGTGCGTTCTCTGGTAGAATTTACACTCTCCTGCCACACTGGCCACGGACTCTGCTGATCCTGACCCTGCCATGTGGATCTCAGGAGAAGGTTCTTCCCCCAGAGGGTGGTTGGCACTGACCAGTCTCCCCAGGGCAGTGGGCACGGCCTCAAGAGCGACAGAGCTCCAGGAGTGTTTGGACAGCGCTCTCAGGGACAGGGTGGGATTGTTGGGGTGTTTGTGCAGGGCCAGGGGTTGGACTGGCTCATCCTTGGAGGTCCCTTCTAGTTTAGGATATTCTGTGATTCTGTGATTCCATGGATTGACACTGGACCAACAGCCCTCTGATGATGGAGGCTTCTGACTGCCCCTCCCCACGTGTCTGGTGCTGCCCTCACCTCTCTCAGGTGCTTTGGGGCTGGTGAGGTCCTTGTCCCCCTGGCCTTGTTGTTGCCTTTGGCTCCTGGTCCCTCAGGAAGCACAAAACCCTTATTGCTCCCTGACAAGAGTAAACTCATTTCAAGACATGATTAATTTAGTTCATTTAGAGAAAATGTATTTTTTTTCCTCCCTCAGCTTGCCAACATGTTGATACAAAGATATCCTGCTCCTGGAACTGTACCCAGACAGCAAATGGGCATGTCCTGGATGCCAATGGGCATTGGGCTCATGGAGATGAGCCCCTCTGGAGCCCCTCTACTCTGGATCAGGCTGGGAGAGCTGGGGGTGTTCACCTGGAGAAGAGGAGGGTCCAGGGAGACCTGAGAGCCCCTTCCAGGGCCTAAAGAGGCTCCAAGAGAGCTGGAGAGGGACTTGGGACAAGAGCCTGGGGGACAGGACACAGGGAATGGCATCCCACTGCCAGAGGGCAGGGATATGTGGGATATTGGGAAGGAATTCTTGGCTGTGAGGGTGGTGAGGCCCTGGCACAGGTTGCCCAGAGAAGCTGTGGCTGCCCCTGAATCCCTGGAAGTGTCCAAGAACAGGTTGGAGTAAACTGGGCTGGTGGAAGGTGTCCCTGCCCATGGCAGAGGGTGGGATGAGATGGGCTTTAGGGAACCTTCCAGTTCCAACCATTCCATGATTCTCTGTTTCTATGACCCAGCACCTCAGGGAAAGTGAGTTGTGTGGGGTGGGATTCACAGGAGCCACATGGTGAGTGTGGGGATGGCACAACCTGCCAGCAATTGGCACAAACACATCTGAAATTCATGTTTGCCTGGATTTTAAGGGCTTTAAGGTCCCTTCCCACCCAAACCAGGCTGGGATTCTGTGACAAAGCTCTGATAAAATCCCCTGGGCTGGGTCCAACAGGGGCTTCCCTCAGCCCATGGAGTGACAGTGAAACCTCCACCATCCCACATCAGTGCTGGTCACAGCTGGACCCAGCTTTGGCTCCTTTTCCTCTTCCCTCCACACCTCAGGATCCTGCAGGGAG